CATACACTTGACCAACAGGTACGTTGCTCCCGCTACATTACTCAGGGTTATAATTTAGAAGGAACCAACCATAGACAGCTGCGTAATAGCCATCTAGGTATTTTGCCCAGGCACTCTATGCCGTTGAAATAGTGGTCCTGCGAGGCCAACACCCATCCTCCACGCAAGAGGTAATATGCCCCACAGGCCAAAGCATAGCTAGCCACCTCGCTTGTTGCATAGTAAGGGCCTCACTTGTCACCACCTCACCCCAGTTGATTAATACTTTCCCTGAAAGGGCCAACACCCCGCAGGATATGCCTTGCGCCAAACTATAGGTAGTGCCTCTCAAGCCACTTGGCAACTAGTAGGAACACACTCATTTCCAACCTAGTGAATTTTTTCACCTCTTGGCACTAGCTAGAATGCAGGTATACGTCCTCAGGCCTAAGCGCATGATTCCTATATATTTCAGTCTGTCCCAGGTACCAGACGACGGTGATGATATCTCAATCCCCAGTACTCCAGCCAGGACCGCTACCCACACACGCAAGGGCGACACCGGTAGCCCATCATCCATAAGATCATGGACTATCTCCCACCTCACGGCTGAACTACATAGACACAGCATCCCTTTCCCAGCTACGGCCAGGAAAGCAGAACTGTTTAGGCTGATTCAAACCCATACTGAGAATACAGATGCGGGGGAAGGCATGAGTGGCACAAGCAATGCCAACCTTCATACCATGACTGCTTCGCTAGTGTCCTCCATGGGACAGATTAATGATAGGCTGGAGAGACTGGAAGCTCGTAGTTTTCCTGCTGTAACACCAGAGCCTCTCACAACTGAAATTGTGGGCTCCTCTCAGTCTCAACCCGGTAATGTTACATTCACCAGTTTGGGGTCACAAATCATTAACCCAGCCCATATGGTACTGGCGAATCTTAAAAAATACATCCTGGAGGGCAAAGACGTTAATCTTGTCTTGCTTCTGATTGCCTCCCAGGATGTCATAGAGAATCGCTCCTACTCATATGGGGACATCTCAGTGGCCCTGAAGGCTAGAGACCCGAGACTCAGCAAAAAACTTTGGGGATTTACAGGGATGTGCTACGTTCGGTAGAAGAGAGGAGCTAGACCTGTAAATGCACAAGCTGGTGGATCTGAGCAACTAATACGGTGGTTTGTCTTTCTAAGACTACCACCATTCATCAGCAGCTCTGTCTCAGTACAACGTAAGGATGGATTGGAGCCAACTGGATACAGAGCTGTTCCTTAGACACTTCGCTGGGCTAAGGACTCCAGCTTGTGCAATATGTGCAGCGAACATGCATGCAACAAACCTCTGCCCAGTTACACTGGATATTACCCCAACCACTGCCATCCCAGGCACCTCAAGGGCAGAGAAGCAAGGCAGGGATAAACTTGGTCGCCCAATTGTGTATCTAGGCAAGTCCCAAATTTGTAATAACTTTAATGTTGAGGCTTGTGCTTATAGTCCATGTCGTCTTTTACGTGTATACTCTCATTGCTGAATAAAATGTATATGAAACCTTACCTGACTGTGACAAACTGCCTTTTGTCACGGGCGTTTTATGCGACAAACTGCTCTTTGTCTCTGGCTTATGGAGAAGCCTGATTGCCACCTTCCTGCCTCATGAGGCTGGGGTGTATGGCCCTTTACAAACAGTCTATGGGCATATTAAGACTTTTTGTGACAATGCCCCTGTAATGGCACCCGGAGTATAGAAGGGGTTAAAGCCATTTAGGATATTCCCTTCCCGAATGTAAAGGCAGCTACTGAACACTCCAACCAGCCGAACAGAAAGTATACGAATCATCCACACTCCAAACAGCCGAACAAGAAAGTATACTAATAATCGCCCCAAGTATGAGACGAGGCTCTGTATTGAGGGTCAAGCAGGAATCGGTTTAATCTGGGCTACAAGGCCGCCTTTTATGCAGGTCTCCCACCAGGTGGACACTCCCATAGAGGACCTGGTGGAAAACTGTGACAGAATGTTACATTGTTATGGGCAAATGCAAATATTACAAGTTTTGGAAAGAAATGTTGTATTTCTTAAACTGTGTACTTTGTCTTTAAGAGATATTGCAAACTGACAAGGTGTTAGAAATGGAACATATTGTTTTTCATAACTGTTTCTTTAAGCAATAACCTCAGTGCATAATATGTTTGCGCCATTTTGTCCCAGACGAATTACAATAACAATAATGCATAAACAAGCTTCAAGGCTATGCTACGACTCTTGCAGTACACAATATACTGTGGTAACCCCAAGTTAATGGAACTTCCCCAAATCCGGGAATCTCCCACGACTGTACACTTACGACTTAGTATAAACAACAGATAACATATTCAGACTTTAAGATGCCATCTTGAACTAAGTCAGGAAAATTTCCGTGACGTATACACCCTTTAGTTATGGCCTTGTATGTTTGCCAAGTTAAGGGAGGTCCTAAATTGAATAAAGTAAAAGAAGTGTTACTTTTTCATATTTGAACTACAGTAACCTAAAATGAGGACACCTAAGGTATGAATAGGTGTACTTTTAAATGTTAAGACACAGAGGAGAGACTTGGAGACAGACGCTGCTCCATCTTAAAATGACAGAGAGGCTGACATAATGACATGTTCAGAAGGGTATGTTAACCTATTAATGATATTTGCAAGCATGTAATTTAATCTTATAAACTCTGCTATAATGGATTTTATATTTTTATATAATAAATATCCAAAAAGACAAAACGATTGCTTCCAAGACAATCCTTATTTTATATTGTATTCTCAATTATTTATATACGTTAAATAGAGGATCTCTTACACTATATAAAATTATGGCTAAGATATCTGTATGGTTAGCCCTACTAAGTTCTATGCTTTAAGACATTATAGTGGTAAATAAGGGAACCACCCACGGTTACAACATTAACCAATCACCACAGTGCAGATATAAACACTCCCCTTGGAACAAGATGGGACTCTCCTCTCTATCCTGGAGATAATGGGGAAGTAACTCAATTATCTCCAAGGATAGAGAATAAACTCCATTTTACAAGTACAGAGAAATTTACACAAAAATCTATAATTCACAAACTACTGAATGTAACCCCCATATGCAACGTATCCACAGATAGCTTAAATCTGAGCGCACAATATTACCGAATAGCGCTCAGATCACATAAATACAGTTCAATTGCCATGGAGTCAAAGTCTTTCACATAGTCTTATATTATACGAATTGGCTCCATGGGATAGCTATCTGGGGTGACTCTGTTCATATGGAAAAGTACCTAATGGTACGGCGTTTGTATAAACGGAAGAACAGAAGAAGGGAGGTCAGCGGCTTCAGTGGTGTTCATGTGAAAATAGTGTCCATTTTTAGTTCCATGGAATCATCGACAAACACTGCTGGGCATTCGTATGTCCAAGATGGCCGCCACCACATGTTTGTTCATACATACAGCCGACATTCGACAATTAGGAAGTGTCTGTGGTTAACCACAACGTTCTAATGAGGCCAAGAAGTTAACAAGCAGCACACTTCCATGCTGTGTGGCAGATCGTTCGGCAGTTCTTTCAGTAAAAAGGGGAAAAAAGCATAGGGAATGTACGGACAGGGAAATAGCCTAACAGACAAACGAACCAAGGGGAAATAAAAGTAATTCAAAAGACAGAGAGGTCTGTCACAGCCCCTTTAAGACTGTGTCCCCAGACTGTAAAAATACTTTGTGCATATCTTTTTCCCATAGGTTTCGGTAAATGGGGCTTACCGAACCAACTACCAAACAGGCGGACTACACACCAGTGGAAGTGTGCAGCCTATTTACCTCGCCACCTTTCGCGAGTCGAACACGTGGCGGCGGGCCATCTTTATTTAGTTGAACGCGGTCATCAGTGTGTGCAGTCAAATTCATGGAACTGAAATCGGCTACACAACGTCACGAACACCACTGACCCTTAGCTTCTTTTCCACTTCAACCATTCGAAGGAAATCGAAGTGCGTTCGATGATTCGAACGCCCTGTTATACTGGGCTATTTGCACAAACAACCTCCGTTCGTGTATTCGAATGGGACTTAGTCATTTTTCTGTGTAAAATAGACCGACTGCACGGCCCAAATCTATGGAACTCTTTTGGGCAGGAAAGCCATGCTTGCCATCGGTCAAATAGGACTTCCACTTAACTTTTAAACCACTGGACCATACTGTATGATTTTTTAGTATATTTGTACATGGATTATGCTGATTCAGAATATATGACTTTTATGTGAATGGCATGTATATTTTAGGAGTTATGAATATTGTATGAAACTGTATATTGTCCTGCCTGTGATAATTAACTTAACCCATTGTGTACAGTAATTATATCATAGGCAGAGGGGAGGGTTTGTGTATCATAGCTGGGAGTGTCTGACTGTATTGTTTTTGTGTTTGATTAACTGTTCCACAAGACCATGTGGGTGGTGTAATGGCTACCCAGTTAGCAAGAGGGTATCAACTGTTGGAGATGTCCTTTTTCCCTGGCAAGTCGCTGTGTAGTGGTGGAGTTGCTTATTCCCATTCACTGGATCCAAGGAAAGTCAGGCAGAGCTCTTAAAAGAGCTAGGTGATTAAGCTGCATATCCCCTTTCAAGAACGAGACAAGGCTACATTTTGAAGGGTCAAGAAGAACTGAATTTTAATGGCAGATACTCTCCTTTTATGTGATGCTGCCCATGCAAGGGAGACACCCACATAATTAACACAATAACCAATAAAACAAAAGGTACAACCCACACATATTCTCCCCTCAGATAAGCCTGTAACACAATTAACAAAGTAAAATTTTGGGGGCGTGGCCTGAGCTCGGACCGAGATGGCCGCATAAACGGAGAGCTCCGCTCCGCCGACATAAATCCCGACCCCTACCAAGCAATATTAGGCACGAATGGGACGCCACCGCCGCACTGACACCCCCCAAACCCCCAGGGGCTCCCAGGTCAGCCACCCGCACGGCCCGATGGACGGGTACCTTCAGCCTCCGACCGAGAACAGCGAGGAGGCGAGCGGATCCAAAATGGCGCCGGCAGCCTTATCCCCGCGGGAGCCACATGGTGCTGCATTAGAGAGGATTGGAGATGAACTCCGCTCCCTATCCTCCGCTATGGCTACCAAAGCTGACCTCCTGGTCCTCACCACCACCATCCAGGATGCCTTAAGGGCAGAAATGGCGGGCATTCGCACGGAAGTTGCGGCCCAGGCTGGCCGGATCAGAGAAGTGGAACACACGCTGGAGGCCCATACTGTGAGACACACAGCAACTGACATGGCCCTAACACGCCAAGGTGAGCTCTTACTTAATATGAGACGGACGGTAGAGGACCTAGATAACCGAGGGCGCAGGTGTAACATCAGGGTGCGCGGGCTCCCTGAACCGGACAGGGGGGTAGAAAACGTGGAGGAAATCCTCACAGGACTATTTCAGCTGATACTAGGGGACGGCGCACCGCGCACCATTAAATTTGACAGGGCCCATAGAGCCCTACGCCCCAGATCCCCTGAGGAAGGCCCCCGAGACCTGATCTGCTGCTTACACTCTTTCAAAGAAAAAGACGCAATAATGAAAGCATCCCGTTCACGGCAGACATGGGAATATGGGGGTGCATCAGTTTCCCTCTACAATGATATCTCACCTATTACACTGGAAGCACGGCGAGCACTAAAGCCCCTGACAGCGGCTCTACAAGAAAGAAAAATACCCTACCGTTGGGGCTTCCCCTTTGCCCTCCTTGCCCGCCACCAAAATGGCTGGGCATCGGCTAGATGGCCCGAAGAGATACCGGGATTTTTGGAGGAGTTGGGTCTCCCCCCGATCCCAGTTCCAGACTGGGTGCTGGGCCCACCGGGAGGTAGACCCAGACCGCAGCGGGCACCCAGAAGACGAGGGGAAGACCCACCACGAGGACCGGAACCCCGCAGGCGTCATGCCCCAGGGGAGCCGGAACAATGAGCAGTCCCCCCCCTGAGGTCTCTCACCCCTGACCTCTCACACTCTGGCCTTGCTCGCCTCATACCTTACACTCAGAGGCCCCTCCTTACCCGCTACCGAAGACGTACTCTGGACCTCACCTCCGCATTTTACTCCACGGTGTATTCCTCGAGACTAACAAAGTGGGGGGACAAGGACTACTCAGTTCCCTCTACACTGATGGGCTTTGGGAGGGAATGATGGGTGGGTCCTACGATACTTTTTGCATTGGGGCTTCCAGGATACCACGTAACATTGGGAGATTCGATACGGACATTGGACTCACTCCTCTAGCCTTCACACTATTGGGAGGGGGAATGGCCGGGACTGGGACAATATGTGCTACCAAGCTCAAGGGCATACTGGCTTGAGACATCTCATAATGGGACTCCGGCACACCGAGCTGAGAGTCACCTTGACAGGGGAAGACTGGCATTGCAGAGGAATTCCCCTGGAAGAAGCACGAAGTATATCCGATGAACGATCTCAATACGCTTCACACACAATGCTGGTCGTATCGCTCTATTACTTTTGTCACATACTAATGTGTTATTTAATATACTGCTGTTGCCTTGCCTCTGCCAAACCCCCAGTTAGTAGGGTAGCCCTCCATTTATAGCTATACACCCTCCACGACCCATGTAAACACACACTACTCAGCACGCACGATCGGACACCATATCACTCAGCCCCGCCGAGCTGGTGATAGGACAGGGACATGTCTAAGGGAGGGGCAGCAAGACGGGAGGGAGACTACCACCCATACGCATCTTATCACTACCGTGACTAGGGACCAGACACCCGGGAAACGGACGGGAAAGCACCCATAGGGGACACACTCATCAGCTATCCTAGATACATACTTAGCTAACGTGACCACAGACCACAACATGATAGGGCTGTTGAGAATCTAACAGGGGCTAAACAACCGGAGGGAGGGGGCTCACCGGGGGTGAGATAGGGGGTCAGGGGACATGAAGCAGGGGGAATAACGCATACCCGACACTACTGAAAGGTGCTACCCCTAAGAGGTTACTGTTACTCTTGTTTTTGTATTTCTTACATGTTTTAATGTTGCAATATATGTATGATGTTTCCTGCTCACTTTACCAGGTGGCGTCCAAGAGCATCTGGCTCACTTGGGGTCGGGAAGACGACGGAGCCTACTTTCTGACTATCACTCACATACCACATACACTTGTTTTATCCCTCCCGGTCTGGGACAGGACTACGGACCCCAACTAAGGGCCGTGCACCTCTTTCTGACGGCAGGACACCCGGGGACGCACGTCTCGGCTCGTTGCCAGGGTGACCCCCGGCGGCCCTAACCGTCGCACGACTATTTCCTCCTAGTATAGGAGGTATCGAGGTGACCTCCCGTCTCCCGTGAGCGAGGCACCTCTACTTGGGGATTAATCCCTATCCCCAATTTTTTACTGTACAATCCCTTACCCTTCCTTCCCTTCCTTTCCTTTATCCCTTGGGTGGCCCCACCCTGACTTGGGCACCAAACCCGCACTGTCAGCACACCACCCACATAGAGAACTGACTGCACACCCGGACTTGGGGTGTTTCGAGACCACACGCCTCGCCCAACAATCAGACTTGGGAGATCAAAGGGAGGAGACTCCCACACACACCCTCCCCCCCACATTAGTTTCCGCTGGTCTCGCCTGGGGCTGCGCCTCCCAATCCTCCGGCACCGCGGCGCTGCCGGACATCCGCACTTGGGGGTGGGATCTGCAGGGTAGGAGAAGAGAGACTCCTTCAGTGGAACCGATCGGGGATATCCGCGTGCCTGGGGACGCCGACTGGAATAGCCATGTCTTACCAACCTACCCCTCTACGCGTATTGAGTCTAAATTGTCGGGGCCTAAATGTGCCGGAACGCCGCTCACACCTGCTACGGGATCTCCGGAAAGCTCAAATTTCGGTAGCTATGCTTCAGGAAACCCACTTCCTGGAAGGCTCCGCACCGAAGTTACGGAACCAACACTACCCACACAACTCCTTCAACAACCACCCCACGTCCCGTAGATCGGGAGTGGCTATCCTACTAGCTGCCGAGATGGACTTTAGGGTACTAGACAGGATGTCGGACACGCAAGGGAGATTTCTATTTTTGAAAGGTACTATCGCCGACAAACTATACACCCTGGTGTCAGTCTATGTGCCAAACACGAACCAAGCGCGATTCCTCCGGGGAACTCTAAACAAGCTCCGGGGCTTCTCGGAAGGGGAGCTTATAGTGGGAGGTGACTTTAACGCCCCACTGGATTCTCGACTAGATGCATCAAACGGGCGCAGTTGTTTACCACTCTCAAGCATACAATCCATACGTAAATCGATGAATGATTTGGGCCTTGTTGATTGCTGGAGAGCACTACACCCGGAAACCAGAGACTATACCCACTTCTCAGCGCCCCATGATCGTTACTCGCGCATCGACTATGTACTGATCCAACAGGAGGGCCTCTCCCGCCTCCGCACAGCTGTCATAGGGCCCGCTACATGGTCAGATCATGGCACGGTACTGGTAGAACTAGAATCACCACTGTTTAAACCGTCACGCTGGACGTGGCGGATGAACGAATCACTCCTCCGTGACCCTGGGGTGGTGGAGGAGATCACGCAGGCACTGGAGAACTATTTCTCGGAGAACGACAATGGAGAGACATCACCAATCACGATCTGGGAAGCACACAAGAGCGTCCTCCGGGGGATACTAATCAGGATAGCCTCCCGCAAACGTAAAGCGACCATGCAGGAAATGTCAGAACTCTACGGGACCATCTCGAATTTGGAACTCCTACACAAAAGGACGCAACAGACGACCACCCACGAGAAGTTGATAGATGCTAGACGCAAGCTGCGGGACCTCATCACGCGCAGACATCACCGCTCCCTACAGTATTCCAAAAGCTTCTTCTATACTCACGCAAACAAAGGGGGTAGATACTTAGCTCGCCTCCTGAAAGGGGATACCCCGCAAACTAGAGTACACAAACTACGCCTATCTGGAGGGAAGACCTCACAGTTCCCGGAAGATATTGCGAGTGAATTCCAACGATACTATCAACGGCTCTATAACCTCGCCACACAGACGGAACAGGAATCAGGGATATCCAAAGCCGAACTTACACGGACTTTCCTGCAGGACAACGTACGCAGACGGATTAGCCCCGACACGACGACCATACTGGATGAACCAATCGGCATTGACGAAGTTACGGCGGCCTTAAAGAAAACCAAGAGAGGGAAGGCACCAGGCCCAGATGGATTCCCGGCGGGATACTACAAGGACTTCTCCGCAAAACTTGTACCATGGCTGACTAAAGCTGTAAATGCCCTTACGGAGGGGAAACGCTTCGGTGCAGAATCCCTGGCAGCTACGATCACAGTATTACTCAAGCCGGGGAAGGATCCAGAACACTGCGGCAACTACCGGCCTATCTCATTACTCAACGTCGACACGAAACTTTTAACTAAAGTACTGGCCACTAGGTTACAACGAGTGCTGCCAAGCATTATTCATGCAGATCAGACAGGGTTCATCCCAGGAAGGGAGGCGAGGGACAGCACCCTACGTCTGTTCTCAATCCAAGCCCGAGCACAGAAATCAGGGGACCACCTTCTCATTCTCTCCACGGACGCTGAGAAGGCCTTTGACCGGGTCAACTGGTCATATATGATGGCCACGCTGACCGCTATGGGATTGGGGCAGAAAATGATGTCGTGGATATCAGCTGTCTATGACAAGCCCCAAGCAGCGGTTCGGGTCAATGGTGCCCTAACCGACAGATTTGAAATAAATAATGGGACGAGACAGGGATGCCCCCTGTCCCCTCTCCTATTCGCAATGACCTTGGAGCCCCTTTTGCAGGCGATAAGACAAAACCCTGACATCCGCGGCTACACGTGGAGAGACTCGGAACATAAGGTAGCTGCTTATGCTGATGACCTCCTATTCTTCATCACTAACCCCCGCATTACAATACCCTGCCTACTCGCCACCATGAAACAATATGGTACGTTGTCAGGATTCAAACTCAACTTATCAAAATGTGAGGCGTTGAATGTGACCTTCCCCTCGAACCAATATACTGACCTGAAAAATAGCTTTCTATTCCAATGGCGTGATGAACGGATGAAATACTTGGGAGTGTGGATCGCCAACAATCCCCAGCATATATACCAACACAACTTTGCCCACTTGCTACAGACAATAACATCAGATCTGGAGAAATGGGCATATCAACACGTCACGTGGCATGGGCGCATAGCGGTTCTCAAAATGAACGTGTTACCAAGAATTCTTTACCTGTTCCAAACCATCCCATTGGCACTACCTAGATCCTTCTTCTCGACCCTGAAGACAGCAATAATACGTTACGTGTGGCGGGGAGAGAGGTCTCGATTGCGATACGAAACGTTATGCCTAGCCAGACTCAAGGGAGGATTGGCACTCCCCGATTTCCGGAAATATCACCAAGCCGCCACGATGCAACGCATCCTGGAATGGCATGCCGCTGATAATCCAAAGCAGTGGGTGACTCTTGACAGAGGCGACTCAGGGGCCAAGCTCAAAGCCGAAGTGTGGCAGGAGTCACCGGGATACAGAGGGAGAGATGAGATCGGAAACCCAGTGACCCAAACTCTGAAAATTTGGGAACGGATCCGGGGGCTGTCATTCGTCTCCCCGAGGCCTACCCCACTGACCCCGATAACGCACAATCCCAAAATTGGAGGGGGCCTCCCGGCCGGTGCATGGACATTCATAGAGGAGGGTGAATATATCCCGATCCGGAAGGTACTGGGAGAGGGACGGGTGAGATCCCTGGATTCCCTACTGGGAGACGGAGCACGGACACCCATGACAACGATGAGATACCTGCAACTAGTACATTTTTATGACTCAGTCCCACATAAGGAACTCCTGCACAGAGAGCTAACCTGGTTCGAGTCACTCTGTCATAGAGGATCTCGACTGGGTAACGCAGTATCCACACTGTATCAACACCTTCTGGTGGGAGGCAACAGGGACAACAACACCTTCAAGCTACGATGGGAAACTCAGTGCCACAAACAACTTTCAACAACACAATGGGACACAGCCCTCCTCTGGCAGCATAAAAGTTCCTCCAGCTCGTACTACCAAGAAGTCAATTATAAACTGATTTCCATGTGGTACAGGACGCCGGTGGCTCTACATCGGATATTCCCGACAGTTTCTCCTCTGTGCTGGAGATGCCAAGAGGAAAGAGGCACTATCACACATCTGTGGTGGGATTGCCGAGCCATCACACCGTACTGGGCCCAAATTCACACTGAAACTAAATCAATACTTGGTGAAGATATGGAATGGTCGATGGAACTAGCCCTGCTACACATGACCTCAAGCTCCATCTCCAGATACAAAAAGTATATTCTACGCCACTTGCTGAACGCGGCAAAATCCCTTATACCCGCATACTGGAAAAAAACCGAGTCCCCGACGCACACGGAATGGTCTTAATATGGTAGGACATGGCCAACCCGCGAGGCACCCAAGCCTACCGCCTAACCAGGCACGGCTGAGATTCCAGTAATCCGGCGGCCCCGTAAAAACCGCCAACAAGGATGAAAAGTTTCAAACAAAACAGTAGACGGATTACTCCGGCGCCTCCGGGGGGCGGTGGAGAGGGAAGAAGAGCCACGACCGTTCGCGGCCGGGTCTCGTCCCGCTGCTCACCCCCAGGCGAGACGCACCCCAAATACACACAGCTCATGTAAAGACATCTACCACCTGATAACGGCATACTCAATACACCCTGCACACCTTCACACACACGATAGCCTGAACATCAAGGCAGGCAATCATAATGAACGCCATCACTACACGCACACTGACACATCACTCAAAGCCACAGACATCGCATGCAAACACCTCAAACAGCGACTGGCGCCTAGTGGACATGCCCCACTGCAAGACGGACGGCTCTAACAAAGGACAGGGACAATGCAAACATCGCCCAAACACATTACGCAACGACTAACGGGCACAACATAAGGGATCGTGGCGCGACTCCCCACCCACACAGAGGGAACACTCCTTCAACACTAGATTACCCATGAAAGGCAGGGAATACACACAGACTACGAGAAACGAACTTGGAAGACACCGGCGCTTTCAACCCCCAACAACAAGCAAAATAGCACATCATTGACACTTATGATACTCGCTCACAGCAGATGCCGAAGCGGGAGGGAGGTAACCCCCTCATCCCTACCCCCCCCTCCCCCCTCTCCCCTCCTACCCTACCCACCCCCTTATACCCGACCCCCTAGAACAACACATTACCCATCACTACCAATAAGGCAGCGATAGACACTCATGGTAACGCTGACTACCTCAGACTGAGACATTACACTGGGAGGTTCCGAGGGTAACTTATAACAATCACGAGAGGGGACAAATACCAATTACCAAAGCTGACCTATAGCTCATAACCGCCCCGTACACGTGAAGGAAGGGTACGGAAAGGTGTTCCCTAGATACTTAAGCATACCTCGACACACAACATACAGTCTGTTTATGTACTTAAACTACCTTATTCACTGTAACTAAAAACGTACGGTTTAAGAATTGTACCCAAATGGCTCCTGTCACATGTTATATTTCATTATTATTTGCATGGAGGCCTGCGTGCCTCACTTTCC